GGGGGGGAAGGGGGCTGAGGGGGCTGAGGGATGCAGAAGGCGGACTGGGGAAGGGGGCTGAGGGATGCAGAAGGCGGACTGGGGAAGCGGCTCCGCGCGGGGGAAGGGGGGCTGAGCCGCTGAGGGGAAACTTGCCCTGTCGGTGGCAGTGGGCACAGCGGCAGGTGGCCCCGGCGGGCCGGGCTGTGTGGGGCGGGGCCAGGCGGCCCCTCCCCTCGGGCTGCCATTGGCGCGGGGCTCTGCGGGTGGCGGCGCCTTGGGGTCTCCCCACAAAGTGCCCGGCAGGTGCGGCGGCCGGGCGGAGTTGGCCGGGCGCGGCGGCGGCATGCAGACCTGTGCCCGCTGGTGGGGGCGGCTCGTGGGCCGGGGGGCCGCTCTGCACCTGCCCCCGGGCGGCGCCCTGGCGGGGAAGAAGCCGCCGGGCAGATGGGGATGGCGGGGTCAGCAGAGCGCGGCGGCGGGGGGCAGCGCCCCCAACACCAGCGCCGCCGCCTCGCGGTCCTCCCGGTACATCGAGCAGCTCCTGCCCCGGCACGACGACTTCTCCGAGCGGCATATCGGGCCCCGGGACAAAGAGAAGCGGGAAATGCTGCAAACTGTGGGTCTGGCGGTAAGTCCCTGCCGGCTCCTTGCCGCTGTGCTGCCGGCTCTGCCCCATCCCTCCCTAGCCGCCCGTGTCTTCCTGCTCCCTTTCCCTCCCCCTTCCCACCCGCGTGTGCGTCTTTGCATCCCCCTAAAACCACTTCGCCGCCGCGTCCCCCCGGCTCTGCCTCCCGCTCCGTCCGCAGGGGAGTTCCCGAGCGAGGCGCACAGCGGCGAGAAGCGGGGACTCGCTGAGACTCCGCTAACAACGAAGCGCGTCTCAACAAAGGTCCCGCTAAGAGCCGGCGAAGGGGAGACGCTTTTAAAGTTTGCGTGCCCCTTGGTGCAGGCTGTCGGACGGAGAGCTGGGTAACGCACGGGACTCACACGAATGTCCTTTTTCAGAGTATCGATGAGCTGATGGATAAAACCGTTCCTGCCAGCATCCGCCTGAGAAGGCCCCTGAAGATGGATGACCAAATTTGTAAGTGACCGTTTCACGCTGGACGCCAGTAGGAGCTTTGTGTAAAATCTCCCCCCTCCTTGCCGCTCTTGTTTCTAGTCTAATTAATCAGCATTACAATAGCTCAGCGGAGGAGTTACAGTTTTGCTTTTCTTTATCCCAGTAATTAGTCTGATGACTAAAATTGTGTAAAAACTGTAACAAAAAACCTACCTATTTCCACTAAAATGCAACAGGACTTAACACAAAGAAGCAAGAATAAACGTACCAGTGCTATACTGTATTGCTCTTCAATCTGTGATGTTGTGCCTAGTTGTAGCAGTATGTTGGTTGCATAAAGGTACCTGTTGTTCTCACATTTGAAACAAATAAGAAAACTTTTATGGCAGGATGAGACTACCTCATTCCAGGCTGAATCCTGTGTTTTGAGTTAACTGAAGTGCAATAATCCTTGGCATGCCCTGAAAGCACTGTGATATGGATTAAAAATTGCTGTTCATAAATCTGAGTCACCCTAGCACAAGTTGTTACCTCCTATGCTGAGTGACACTTTGAGACCTGTTGCTCAGAATTTACATCTTTAAATAAAATACCAAAAAAGACTAGGAGGCGTCTACCATACATAAAATAACTATTTATATTTGGAAGTTTAGTCTGATTTTTTTTTTTGAGATTGATCCCAGTGTATGAATCAATGATGTGCATACATTTTTAAAACTGGAATCGGAATTCAGCACATCATGAGAAACAAAGGTGTTCCTTTTGTATTTTAATAAATGTAGAACCCATTTTGATGAAAACCCGTTTGCAGAATTTCAACCCAGCAGAATTTTTTTTTCTAGTTGAATTAGTCATCTGAAAATGGTATTTAACTTGGATATAGAGGTTACTTTTAATAGTAGCCTAAAACTCAACTATAATAGTACTAATGGGCACTAGTATAATTCAGCAAATTACTATTGTCATAAATCAAAGCTTACAGGTGCTGTTAGTATAATGGGGGAACTTGTGGATTTCAAGTCCTTACAACTAAGGAGGTCTCCAATCTTTAATTAGAGGGAACATTTTTAAAAATATACAATTACATTAGTACAGAAAGACCATAATAAATGTTTGCCAATATCTTCCTGGAAAACACACTGGTGCCAAAAAAAACGTTTTAAAAGTCGTATTGACTAAATAATTGCACTAAAACATAAAGCTTAAGAGCTGCCCAGCATCTTGAAAATCACTACATCAGTATCACCTTTTAGCTTATGTGTTTAACATATTAGCAAGTAGGATAATTTATTTTGATTCCTCTTGCTCCCCTTTAATATTGCTCATCAGCAAATTGTAATTTAAGTGTAAACTTTAGGCCCTGCAGCTTCTGTAAGGTTCCTGGCCAGTTCAATCTGGTTAGTTTGAGATGACATCACAGAACAGAAGCAGCAGCCAGAATGGCCAGGAAAGCTATAGCCTGAAAAGACTACTTCTAGCCAGGAATTACACAATATGATGAAAAGTCTGTTATTTCAAAGATTTTATTTAAATCTTTGATGCATTGGTGTATTTTATTTTTAAATAATTTTTACCCACCTCTCAAAAAGAGTGGGTGATCTTAAACTCCTCCTCACTATCTTCATGGTTTGC